ATGTGTCTCTGTGTATTTGTTTTAGTTCTTCTGATGTGATTTCAACTCTTGATAAGACATATGCCGTAAAAGTCTCGGTTTCTTTCACGTATCTAATTGTTTAAAGTTTTCTAAAGTAATTTTAGTTTAAATTTGGTTAACCTGTTAGAACGGTTTGCCACATTCCAAATAGGTATACTAATGGGCGGAGGTCTGGCAGAATAATAAATTCTTTTTGTAGTAGATAATGCCTCCATTTGGAGATACTCCATGCTATTGCCAATAATTCCTTTTCTGTTGTAAGATAATTTATTTCTGCTTTGTTGAGTGTCCTACTAGCGTATGGTACGGGTTTTTCATTAATATTTGAAATCGTTGCTCCCTGTTATTCTTGAAGCATCTGGCCTTCGAATAAATTTGTTTTCTTTTGATCAATCCAGGATTTTTAGCTCCGGAGGTTTGTTAAAAGACGTCTTGAGCTTCCAAAATGCTTCTTGAGATTCAGTTGTCCATTCAAACTTTACGTTTTTTTTTTAAATAATCTATTAAGTGGTGCGACTATCTCAGCAAAATGTTTTATATGTTTCGTATAATAATTTGCAAATGCTACAGATCGCTTTGCTTCTTTTGCGTTCTGTGGTATAGGATACTGTTCCATTGCTATTCTTTTTTCTTCTCTTTATTCTGCTATATCGAGATCCTATGTCTTAAATATAATAATTCCTTTTTTACAAACTCACATTAAATCTGGTTTAATTTCAAGTTGACCTTGCTCAGTCTTTATAATACCTTTACTACGTTTTGATTATGTTGTTGTAAAATGTTACCAAATACTATCTAAATACTAAGTCGTTCAGATATATGAACATGTTTTCGAAGTTAAAGCCTGGCATTGCCATTGTCATTGCTCTTAAGAATCATCCCGGGCTTGTTTTTAATCCCATGGGAACTCGTATCATTTGATATTGGCCTCTATCCGTTGAAAATGCCGTGTATGCTCTTGATGCGCCTGAAAGCGTCTACAGGAAACGAAGCAAGTCAATAGAAAATATTGTAAAAAACTACGCATTCTAGATGAAAACGTTCTACAGTCGACTTCTTGGAAATACTTGCTCTTTAAAATGACATTTTCTAAATTAAAAAATACTTATAAACAAAAAAGGTGTTGCAAATTAAACCTAGAAGTAAGCATTTCTTTCATTTGGTCATCATCATCATCAATGGTGCTACAGCCCTATGAAAGAGCCTCGACCTTCCCAAGTCTATTACGCCAGGCAGTCCTATCCATTGCCAACCGTTGCCAGTTTGCTGCGCCTATCTTTCTACCATCCTCATCTACACCATCCTTCCATCTGAGTTTTGGCCTACCCCTTTTTCTGCTTCCCACGGGTTGTGACATAAGGATTCTTCTAGGAGGGTTGTTCTGCTGTGATCTTGCTAGATGTCCTGCCCATCTTAATCTTCCTATTCTTATAAGAGATACTACGTCTTTACCACCAAATATTTGTTTATATCTGTGGTATACCTCGTAGTTGTATCTCCTGCTCCAAACACCATTTTCACAGATGCCACCAAATATTCCTCTCAGGATCCTTCGTTCAAATATAAGCAAAAGGTCTTCGTCTGCCTTGGAGATGGTCCATGTCTCCGATCCATATGTCAACACTGGCTGTATAAGGGTTTTGTATATAGTTATTTTTGTTTTTTGGCTTAAGTTTCTACTTCTCATATGTCTACTCAGTCCAAAATAGCATCTGTTTGCCATTACTATCCTTCGCTTGATTTCTTCCGTTATGGCGTTCTCTTTGGTGATCAGGGAGCCTAAGTATGTGAATTTGTCAACCACTTCAAAGGTAGAGTTATCAACCGTGAATTGGGGACCGATGTTCCTGGCTCTATTGTTGGGTGTTGATGTCATCATCTTAGTTTTCTCCTCATTTACTTGCAGGCCAATAGATTTTGAGGCATTTGAGAAGGTGGTATACATTTCTTCTAGCTTGCGTGTTGTGCGGGCAACCAGGTCCACATCATCTGCATATGCCAAGATTTGGGATGATTTATTAAAAATATTTCCTCTGTTGTCTATTCGGGCATCTCTGATTGCCTTTTCCAGTGCTATGTTGAAAAGGAGACACGCCAGCGCGTCTCCCTGTCGCAGCCCAACATGCGTTCCAAACGCCTGTGATTGTTCGCCCTGTATTTCGACTTTGCAAACCACATTACGCATTGTAGCCTTAACCAATCTTATCAGTTTATCGGGAATGTGGAATTCATTCATTGCTTCATACAATTTATTTCTTAGGACACTATCATAGGCAGATTTGAAGTCTACAAAAAGATGGTATGTATCGATATTGAATTCATTGGTTTTTTCCAGTATTTGCCTTAGCACAAAGATCTGATCTGTTGTTGATCGACCAGGCCTAAAGCCACTTTGATATTCCCCGAGAAGTTCCTCTGAATATGTACTTAGGCGACCATATATGATCCTCGAAAATATTTTGTATGCTGTATTAAGGAGGGTTATTCCCCTATAGTTTCTACATTCCAATTGGTCACCCTTTTTGTGTAGCGGCAAACGATTCCAATACACCACTCTTCCGGGATTTGTTCCTCATTCCAGGCTCTCAGTATTATTTTATATATTTGATTAGTCACAGAAGCACCTCCACATTTGATAAGTTCCGCGGGTATACCATCACTTCCTGGAGATTTATTGTTTTTTAGGTGTTTTATTGCATCTCGTACTTCTTGAATTGACGGAGGTTCATTTGGTCATAATTATTAAAATAAACAATAAAAACATTTAAAATACATGTCATAAATACAATATACCTACCCTACATTAGTATAACCGAATAGATTCCAAATGAGTCAAGGCCTTAAACAGTCCTGTTGTCTTTCCTCGACATTATTTAAAATTTATTTAGAACAGTCTTTAAAACTAAAAAATATCGGGAAAGAAATAAAGGCAGAATTTAGAAATTTGTCATTAGATCAATAATGGCATAAAGGGCAGAAATACAACCTGACACAGAGGGGACAAAATTGATGGTAAAACACTATGGGACAGAGCAGAGTAGAATGGAACGATCCATAGTACATAAAAAAAAGGACGATCATAAGCCGAATGACAAGAAATATAGTAGCAAAGAAAACGATGGAAGGACAACTTACTGGAGGCACGTTGAAAAACAGACAGTCATGTCTACATAAAAAAAAGAAAAGAGAGAAGTCTTTAAAACTTTTGAAACGCAAGTGCAAAAATATGAAATGCTGATTAATAATAATAGCATTGCGTCATTTGCAGATGATTGTTGATGATTGAGTGTATGACTCGGACATTAATTGGAAGAATACGAAAAATGGGGAAAAAAGCATCACAAAAGAAGGCAACGTAGACGACACGATAGAAGAGAGAAACACCACGCAAGAAAGGGATTTCCCCTCTCAATAGTATCCTTTGGAATTAGTGAATATCAAACAATAACAAGCACAGGTTATATAATACAGTTATTGAAAGTATAATCACATACGCCCTACAGTAGTGAAGTATGGCAAATAAAGGAAATATACAAGAGGACACTTGAAGCAACGGAAATGAATTTCTTGAGACGGTTAGTAAAAAAATCAAGACTAGAAAAAGTAACGTATAGTATCGATAATGGACTATATTGGGATCTAACACCGATTGTATGACCATGTACAAAGAATGTGTGAAGGACGTCTTCCAAAACGGGTCTTAATCTGGTCTCCTTACGATAAAAGGAAAATAGGAAGATCCCGAATAACTCGGAGAAAAGATCGGTAAATGAGAAAAAGAGAACTAGAAGAAGACTTATGGACAAACCGAGAGGTGTGGCGACTGGGTATCGAAATATATAGGAAATATATGTTTAGAACCTACGTTTATTGCCTAATCATCTGAGATTACTCAGAGTGCAGTTTTCTGATGCCCTAAGAAAATAGTAACGTAGCAAGCACAGGGTTGTAATCTTTATGCTAGCCATTGACCTGGAGTATTTTACCAGTATGCTACACTAAGTTCCTGTTCCCATTTTGGACTTCTTCCATGATCACCTTATTGGCTTATCGTAGAATGGTTCTAATCCAATAAAAGTTACTTTTTGAGCAATACTATAAGTAATCCTGTTACCATAAATTCCTTTATGCCCTGGCACCCATAACAAGTTATTCTGTTACGGCCCGGCACCGACAAAATTTTCAATTTCTAATTTAACTGAGCTGTCGCCGTGCTTGGGAGGGCACGTAAAGCCGTCGGTCCCGGCTACGAAAGTAGTCGTTAAGTCATGTTAGGGGCACTTGCGCGACTTGAAAAACCTAACACTAGACGTTAGCCAGAAAATTTCACGAACTTTACTTTTTTTTATTCTGTTATGGTCGCCAGTTGCTTAACTAAGACTTTTATTGCCGTGCAAACTATTATACGGACAATATGAAGACTTCAGAGTTTTTAATATAGCTTATCTATAAGAGACAATAAATATGTTGGCCAAATTTAGACGATTTTCAGGCACTCTTAAGTTTAAAATATGTTAGTAATTCTGCTTGAAATAGTGTATGAGTATTTTCGAGAGTCATTGATACTCTATTGTTAGGATCATTAACTAATATTCGTACTACTTTAAGTATCTTCGACCCATCAGTACAATAAGTGAGGAAAACTCTTGTGATTTCAGCGATATCGTTTTATGTTAACCCACACTTGTTTATGATGATATTTATTAATTCGGGATCTTGTTTTAAGAAGAAAAGTGGAAAAGACTGGGGAGAAATTGAAAGATTATGTATTTAAATAATTAACGTACCATTTATTTACTTAAATTGATGTAAAATAGATTCTAGTTTTTCTTTTATCATACACAGTTTGATACAAACACTTAATACCTTATTGATATCTTTTTTCTATTTAGATTCGCATGAATGCTTTTACTTTATTTAACTAGATGTTAGTTAAATTTAGTTTATATGTAAAACCACGTCAAAATTGTTACTTTTAGCTCCGATGGCCGATATTTTGCAAACCAATAATGCAGAAACCTAATTTGGTATAAAGCAGGTTAGTATTTAGTTTGTATTTGATATGAAGTATTTAAAATACGTTCTTGATTGTATTATTTTATACGATCCTCACAATTTAAAATACAACCCACACATCGATATACAAAATACATTACCATCAATAAAACTCATTCCACTAATATTAGTATAGATACTTCATGATATTTCTCTTCCACAATCACTACTTATCCCCCTTCCCAAGTCTCCTGCTTGTATGGTAAAGGTAAAAGTCCTAGAGAACTGATTAGAAGAGCTTTTAAAGGAATTTTATCTACAAATGAATATATCCTAATTAAACACTAATGCTTCAAAAAATGAGACAGGTGTAAGCTGCTCTGTTAAAACACCACAAACACTTATCAAATTATTCCTTATACTTCCCCTTTCTTTAGTTCACATCAGTGGCGGATCTAGACTGAATTTGTCTGTCTATGGTTTAAGTTTCATATCATCTAATAATATTTTGATGTTTCAACAATTTTTTCTTTAGTTTTAAAACCTTGTTGGGGAGGATTTCCCCACCCACCCCTCCCCCCGTCTATTTGTCACTAGTTTACACAGGCGGCTTATTTAAAAAGCTCTTATATGCATCTCTCCTCCAAATAAGCAGGTTGCCATATGCATATATTCACTAGTCAAAACCAACTTATCTTCAAATGATTAAAAAACCCCACGAGATGGATAATGGCTTTAAATGCCCAAGAATGCGAACATTGTATTGAAAATAAAGTGGAAATTACAGACATTAATATTCTCAGTCAGATAATAGATTATGTCATTACGACAGACTTAAACGAAATATTGCCTCATAAATATAAGGGATCAGAAAATAATGAATAGGGAAGTGAGAAACGTAGTAAGAAAAGTTATACAGAACTTAAGGTCAAAAAACAAATCCAACAGTAGGAGAAAATAGTAGAACAAGCATATTTTAAAGAAAATCAGATCACGAAACATACCTACTAATAGAGTGAAAATGCTATAATAATAGAAGTATTATACATGGAGTTCTACAAATTTCAACAGACCGAGAACCACTACTCACAGTAAACACGCCGATCTTAAACCGCCAAGGGTATACTTCTGAACTTTCCTGCTATATTTGAAAGAAAGGATATAAAAGTAGACAGAGATTGATTAATCAGAATGAAAATTTATAGAATGTTTCATGCATTCTGTAAACAAGTTCTGTTGTATCCAATTACTTGGGTGAACCGTATATATTGACCTAGGAGGAGCACCACGCAGTAACTGGTCATTTCAATTTTATCAGGGAAAAATCAACATCGGCGGAACAAATTGACGTTCAGAGTTGTTATTGATGCAATGTTTGTTTTCCTTTTGTTCCTAAAGTTTGTGCAATTTTGTTCTGGACAATTGACAATCCACTTTCATTCACATTGAAAACTCTGTGCGGAAAAAATTATATTTCTTGTATTCGGTTTCCACGTTGTTAAAAAAAACTCCTCTACGTTTGTTTTGTTGAATCCCAGAGCTACAAAAAAAGTTCCAGTGGCTCTTCAAACTGATATGGAAGTACTATGGCACCTTAAGAAAGCTTTCATCCAGCTTCTTCCTGCAGTGTTATTTTTAAATTAATGAGTTAAACCTATTATTTTATTGCTAAAACCCTCCATAGCTTTCTGCATCTCTTCAAGCCTCAATTTTTTTCGTATGTTTTTCATGGCATCATCAGGCATGGTTGATCTAAAAAAAGACGCAACTAGTGATTGAATCAAATAGTTTTTAGAACCAAATACGGTCCATATTTTCAACCCGAATGGGTCCATATTGGCAACCAGTAGGGGCACATATTAGCCCACAATATGATACAAAATGTTTTTATAGTATGCTACAATACAAACCTAACACATCACACTTTAACAAACATTTTCCATAAATTCCATAATTACATAATAACATAACTTGCCGTGAATAAACATCAGAAATCTGTCGAATCCACTAACCTCATTTGGCCATACAATGATTTAGAAAACAAATGCGTGAGATCAGTAAATTAACCAACACTTCGCATCAACTTTAACCTATTTTTAAGATATGGCGCTACCTGTCATGATGAATTTTTGATGGGAGCCCATATTAACCACAAGGCTCATATTAGCATCTTCTCTATCTTTCTTGAGGAAAATAGAAATAGTTATCTTCTTCCTTACTCTCAATTAAGGCATATAATTTTTCAATCAACTGATGCCTTAATAAACAAATTAGAATATCTACCTATCTAAAAAAATTAAATTGACAAGCATACACCAACACAATCAAACCTTTCAAAGTCTGGCGAAAGGTGAACGCATCTCTTACCATTACGCCGGACGATGGTAGAAAGCTGTTAAGACCTGTCAGTTCGACAGCCACCGTAGCTTATTTGTGTTTGCCGACAGCTATCGGTGAAATTCCAAATGCAAAATAAAACTAGTGTTCAGTCTTAAAACGAGGTAAATTTATTATGTGTTGACATTCTCGGATAAATATTGACATTTTCTAATTTCATTCATGGTAACATATACAATATATATATATATATATATATATATATATATATATATATATATATACAGTTTAATTTTTTTTATTAGATATTGCTCTACATAAAGCGCTACAATCGGAAACATTGCCTTGTATGAGGTAAATTCTCCGATTCCCTCCGACACCTAGACAGAAAACGAGAAAACTATTTAGTAACACATAACAACGCATGGGATATGCATCTCCGTCCGTCGATGTTTGTTTTCCTTGCGTATACCCGATTCATTTCTTATAACATAAACTCGATAAAAATACACTGAACTTTGTAAGGCGATGAATCTGTATCGGTTTTTAATAATGTGAACAATTTTTTGTGGTTAAATTAACAATGAAAGCGCATTTTTTAAAAAAGATAAAATAAAATATATACTCTTATTGAAAATAAAAAATAATTCCTAATAAAATAAGAAATAATTCTTTATGCCCTACAGAAATGATTCAAATACTTGACCTACAGCTGAACAGTACCCCAATCTGTCATAAAAACTTCTGCGTACAGATGTAAGAGTTTCTGTTGTAACAGAATTGGAGATTTCTCTTATTCGGTTTTTTCATTTATCCAAATTTTGGGCTCTAGCCTCAGGATGATTGTAGATGATGCTTTTTATCTGTCCTCCAAAAAAGTCCATGGGTCTAAGATCTGGAGATCGCGCAGACCACTTATTATCGCCTGTTCCACTGATAACGCGATTCGGGAAAGTATTATCGACGGTGCGCAATGTTGCCATTTATAGTGTGTAAATCTAATTTAAAACTTAACGTACTGTATCGAATTGTTAATTCTAGGTTTCCAACGTTATTGATTAGTTTCAATTTTGGAAATCTCATCAAATATCAATTGATCTTTGATGAGACTTGATGAATTCACAAACATTTTCAAAAAGTCGTGGACATTGAAACCAGCAGATGAATTATTGTAATATAAGATAAATGATAAATCTAGCTAACAATTATAATCTGGTTTTATTTATTTTAGGAATACAAGGTGTCTTTCGTACCCAAGCCACTCCTAAATCCGGATTGAGTATTGCTAATTCTATCCTCTAATATCGTGTACATTACTTTATGTATTACTCGCAGGAAAATCTTCAAAACGTGATTCTTCAGAATTATTGTCCGATAATCTCTGCATGTCTTTACACAATGTTTTTTTAGTATTGTGACAAATGTCGACTTGGGCCAATCAGTTGGTAATATCCCAGTGTCATAAATTCTGTAAAAAAGACCACACTTTAATTCAATTTTCTCTCAAAAGCTTTAGTACTTCAGCACTCACTTCATCGGGGTCAAGTGCTTTTCTATTTTTTTGCCGTTTGTATTGCCCATACAACCTCACTTTCTGTTATAGATAGACCTGTTATAGCAATCGTCGTCTTCAAATAATTCAGAAATGTAGTTTTTTTCCATTATTTTAACTGTTTATTGATATCTAATATTCTGTGTCTATTTTTCTCTTCGAAACTTTGGGATAGTTGTTTCAGTTTGTTTTATTCCGGTGATTTCTTTTAATTTTTTGCGCAGATGAAAAGTATCGTGTTTAAAACTTAGTAGGACAAAAACACTGTTTTCTGAATGGTTAATGATAGAGGTACCACTATAAATAACTTTGGGTGGTGAAATTATCGTAAAAAATAATAGTTTTAAGAATATAGGACCGGTGTTATAGAGTAAAGGTTTATTCAGATCAACAGTCTTGGGAAGATCAGATTACAGTCAAATCATCTTCAAGTCAAGAGGCAACCATTCACGCAGGACAGATAAGATGTACAAAATGTAAAAAAAATCACTTGTACTGTAAAACAATTTTTATTGTTATTTTTCATTGCTAATAAATTTAATTTAGACTACTTATATTATACTAAATACAGTGAGACCTCAATATAACGAAACTGGAAGGAAATTTGTAGCATTTCGATTTTCGTATTTGTTAAAACACGAAAACTATTGTTAATCATTTTGCGCCGCTGAGATTGATAATATAAACATTTCTGGTCGGTGTATAATAATTTTAATTGCATTCTTTTGATCCTTATTCCGCTTAATATTGCGCGTGAAATAAAAATTCACTTAGGTTGGCGGGGACCTATGGTATGGGGACCCTAAATTCGTAATGGTTTTTCTTTATTCGTTTTTTGTCATCGGGAACTCAGTAGCAGTGTGGAGTTTAAGTGAAGGTTAAGATTTCGATTCGGAAAAAATAGCTTGAGGTGTGTAGTTCTTCAAAGCAGGCTTTTTTTTGTGAAGAGGTGAATTTGAGCTCATGATGCTAAATAGCATTCTTTATTGAGTTGATTGCAGTTTGCTGTCATCTAGGATAATCCGAAGCCTGAATCAATGTCCAACTTCCAAATAATTGCCCATTTGTGTTCCATGGTCAAATTATATCGTTACAAATTAGAAAATATTTTTGTTGCTCTGCGACGGTCAAGAAACACCTTCTTCGTTTCTCAAC